GCCTTTTGCGCATCGGCAATTTTGGGACCCTTCTGGAAGCATTCCTCTGCCTTTTGCCAATTGCCAATAACTGTTATCACACCTCTGGGACCAGGCATCTTCAACTTGAGGTACACGTAACATGGTCGAGCCATAAAACACGCGTAGGAAGGCCTACCCAGAATGGCATGATAAGCACTTTGGAAATCCACAACTTCAAATGTCAACTTTTCCTTACGGTAATTCTTGGAATCACCGAAAACCACGTCAAGGACGATCTGGCCGAGTGATTCGGCTTTCTTCCCAGGAATAACGCCGTGGAAAGTCATATTGCTCTCGCTAAGTTTGGACATCGGAATGCCCATCCCCTTTAAGGTTCAGCGTAAAGGATATTCAAGCCGCTACCACCATCCATTAGCACTTTGGTCAGTCGACTACCTTGGACCACTGGGTCGACCACCAATGCTTGCCTCCCAGGGGTGGCTATACGCGCAGGGTGATCCGAATGATCGCATGCGATGGATGTTTGGGACCATTTCAGGTATGTAGTCGTCGTTGCTGGGGCGACCATATTTACTTCTCTATTGATCACTTTCAATCGACTCTTGCTCTCAACATCAACAAAAATCATCAGGGTGGAATTGACTTTGGGATAACCATCGTCTTCTTCCTCATCCTCGCCTTTGTCTGACTCCTTTCCTTTTTTTCATTGGGTAGATTCTCTCGGAACTGCTGGATCAGGAGCCGACACTGTCGAGTGGTGTGTTTAGGGTAAATCAGATTACCCTCTTCATCCTTCTTTGTGTGAATGTGACACGGCAAATCCAACACATCATTTCCTCCCTGGTCCTTTACCTTCTTAGGGGGCCAGGGTCCCTTAGGTTTTCCTTTAAACTTTCCTTGAGCTACTGCTGCAATTTCACCGGGGCCGCGGGCTCGGCCTTTCGTTTCTGTTTCCGACTGGAATTGACTCCGTCGGTGTCATGGCCTACTGGTTTGCCCTTTCCGCCGTGGAGTCGATCTTCACTTCTTCGTTCGCGTACTGGATGGCTATCTCCATCATTCGAGTCAGAGTCATATCCCCAGTCCGACCGAACTTCAGGACCAGTTCTCGGTATTTAACGCCTTCCTTGAAGGCACACATTGCCTGATGCTCAAATACATTCTCCACTGTGTGATGCAAAGTGGTCCACCTCTGGATGAAATCTCTCAGAGTCTCACTCGGTTTCTGTATGCAGTGCTGCAATTCTGTCAATCCCATTGGCCGCTTGCAAGTGCCCTCAAAAGTTCTGACGAACACTCGAGCAAGCTCTTCCCAACTGTATATACTATTTGGGGCTAATTGAGTCAACCAGGCTCTGGCTGATCCTTCCAACATCAAAGGGAGATGCTTCATTGCCACTTCATCATTCCCGCCACCAATCTGCACAGCCACTCGGTAGTCTTCATGCCAAGTTTCAGGCTTGGACTCCCAAGTGAACTTGCTGACTCCAGTCGCCAACCTGAAACACTCGGGGCCTGAAAAATAAACCCTGCTGCCAGTCGGGCGATCTCTGCCAAGGTCATCCCTATGTGCTCTGTTCCGGTCAACCAAACCCTGAACGAGAATAGATCTTGCATCAAAGCCTGGCTCCCTTGGGTCGACTAGTGCTCTACATTCGCCGCTGTGAAGGCGCATGTCATCGTACTGCCGATGCACATATGATGTACTCCTCGGAGGAGGTGTGGGCATCCGATGACGACTGTCGTGGTCGAGTCGGTGATCATACTGCCCATGGCCCTCACGCCGCAGGGGCGATCTTGGACTATGGGCCGACTGGACAGTATCCGCCACCACGGATCTGCTATGAATTCTGTCCCGCGAGTGAGACACCGCTGTGATCAGCTCTCCTGCCGCCCGGAGTAAGGACCGGATTTGCATCAAACCTCTGCCAGCCTTTGACTGGGAAGGTCGGATCGACTCTGCTATTCGGGCTGCAGCTGTGAGATTTTGAATCAGAGTGCGGTATACCTTAGGTGGGGGTGGGAAAAGCTGTCGTTGACTAGACTCGTGAATTCGTTCCCGAGCACGCTCATCGAGAGCGCATTGGAGGTTCTCCAGTCGAGTGTGCTTAGCAAAATTAGCCAAATGCACCACTTCCAAGACCCGAGCCTCGGGGGTTTCTCCAACGATGGGCGTGTGGAGTGCATCCATGTTGCGGCGATGAAGTTCTTCTCTCTGCTGTGAAGAGAGGGGTTCGGGATGGTACTCCTCATGGACGCGCGACGGATCGCCGCCCCCGTCCCCGCCGTCTTCGCGGCGAAAACCAGGTGGACTGTGTGGTCCGTCAACCATCAAGACTTCAGCCGCAGGGTCACTGCTATCGCACTCGGATGCGGTCTCGAAGGAGCCAGTCGACAGATTGAATAGGCCATAGAGAGTTTCGTCGGGCTCGATCACCGTGACTTGATGAGTGGCCGAATGTCGAGCCACTGCGTGTTTTACCCACCGCTGGAGCCGCGACCGACCGGATCGCTTGCGGCGGCAAATAGCAGAGGGAGACGACGTCATTGGAGCCGACCGATACTGAGTCCACGGCTGCCGGAGAAGGACGCCGTGAACGCATGCACGAAAGTGCGTCGCCCCTCAGACGGGGAGCGCCTCGACATCAAGGGGAGCTTCTTAAAGCCAAGTGGAGTCATCGGTGATGAAAACGAGTGCGCCAAGACGGATCTCGCGCCCCTTAGCCAAATCACCACCGGAAACCATGATGATGGGGATCGGAAAATTGCAACTTCACCAACAAGTTGCTAAGACACCTGCCCCATAGTGGGCGCCAACTATCGTGGTTCTAAGGCTGACAGTAGAAAGGGGGGTAGGTATGGAGAGGCAAGATCTCAGCTATGGTGAAGGTGTACACACGAGGTTTACGAGTTCAGGCCCTTCTCGGAAGAAGTAACATCCCTACGTCTCGGTGCTCGGAGGCGGTCGATTGGATTATATGTGTGTGATATTACAGGAGGTGTGAACCCTTGTCCGAGAGGAGGGGGGTGGCTTATATAGAGTGCGCCAAGACCCCAGCCATCCTCCATTACAAGGCGATTAATGTACATAAAGTAGGGGCGTTACTGATAACGCCAGCCTTAAGTGCTATTAATGGCCTTAAAGGCTACGGAGTGAACGTCCGACCGTTGCAATGCTGAGTGACTCCTGATCTTCGGTAGGTCGAGTGATTCCTTGTATAGTCGAGTGATTCCTTGTATAGTGAGATATCCGAGTGATATGATGTGTCGAGTGGATTGCACTCGACACCTTTGACTAGGGGTCCTTCGTTGCCTCTTTGCTTCTTATCTTCTAGGGTAGTGACCTTGGGTAGGACGTATAGGTCAGGCCTATGACCCTATCCCAGGTCTGTATCCTCATCAGTGGCAAGGGAAGGTACGCGTGTGGCGGCGCGGACACTCCCCTGGTGACGCACGGCTGGGTGCGCGCGCGGTGCCTAGGAAGAGGCCACGGCGATAGGGATGAAGAAGGTGGCGCCGGGAAGGAGGGCGCGGGGTCGGGGAGGAGGCTACGACGCCAGGGAGGAGGCCTCGGGTCCGAGGACATGGGCCCAGCTCCAGAGAGGAGCAGCGAGGCCGGGGACGAGGCGGCGGCTCCCGGGAGGAGGCCATGCGGCCGGAGCAGAAGGTGGATCGGGGGGAGGTGCGGCGGAAGAGGGAGGTGGGCGCTGGTGGGAGGGATCGGGGGAGGTTGGAGATGGAGGTGGGGTGCGTGGGGGATGCGTTGGTGTTTTTTTAGGTGGGTTCAGTGGGGTTCGGCTGGGGCAGTTTATTTGTGTTTGCAGAATAAGGTGGGGATGTGCAGAATAAGGGTCTTAAGGGGTGTTATCATATATATATTATGATGACACCCCTTAAGACCATATATATATATATATATATGTTGGCATAATATTGTAAACGACTCCCTTAAATTTCCAGTTTAAGAGAACATCTGGTTAAATTTAGCTCATAGGTTGATAAAGGTTACTTTGACTAATGAATCAGACATGTTTCATTGGAGGTTGATTTCTTCCGACATATTTTCTGTTAAATCTATGTGTATGGATTTGATTAATACTTAGCCGGTTTTTAGGTCCAAGCTACTCTCGAAAACCAAAGTGTCATTGGAAATATAAAATTCATGTGGTTTCTACATAGGGTAGTTATTCTTATACTAAGGATAATGTGGCTAAGTGCATATGGCAAGGTAGTAAACAATGTTGTTTACTCTGGCGTACATTTCATGTGGTTTTTAATCTGTCTCTACCTACAAGTGGAAATCCATCCTACCGCCTAGTGGTAGCTAACCCCACATTTTCTACCAATGGATTCTTTGAGATGTGTGTTTTTCTAGGGAAATGTGTGGATCTCAAACCAAATATGTATGTATGTATTCAATTAAACAACAACATCCAGTTAAAACCCATCATGGCAATTCTAGTGGGGAATCGATTCTGGCAGTGTTTTAGTGGCGGGTGATGGGGACAAGTGGCTGTAAAAATTCCACGAGCGACCAAGGGGAGGCGGGGAGGGAGGTGAAACTTACCTCCCATGCGAATGGTTGGCGGATGGAGCACCCTTCATAATGACATGTGGCAACTCTTGCTAGAGTGCCATTTTGGCCCATAATTGCCATATTGGCGGTTATTATGATAATCAATCCAATATGACGACTTCGCTAAAGTTTTTCTAACAGTGAAAAGCAAGGAAGTAGTGCCAAAGTATTTTGTGACTCTTAACAAGTTATTAACACCAATACTTCGTAGTAAGCAATATATATAATACATTAGCAAGAACAAGATTGCATAATGCAACATGTAATCTTATTCCATTTTCTTCAACAAACATATGCAACAATGTTTCTTGTTCTACTGAAGGGAAGGCTTAATTTTGTCATTCATATAGATCATTTAATCTATAGAACCATGTTGAGGAAGATACTTTTGAGGGTGTTTTATTTAGTTAAGGCAACATCTGAATATCAATGCCTAGATATTTCACTTGACCAGGTACTTTATGACCCCGGGGATGTGGACCCTGTAAAAGTAGTCATCCCAGTCAATGGTCTTCGGGTCAAAATTGAAGAGGCTGGCATGATCGTCGGCCATGGTGAGCCTAAGCTTGTGTAGGTTCACATCATCAAAACACCCCTTGAACAACGCGAAGGGGCCATACAAGTCAACAAGCTGCATCACAAACCTATAACAAAAACAAAAAAAATCATGTCATCTTATGTGCCACATCATCAAGATAGTACAACTGCACACAAGTTTAATGACTAACCTGTACTTGCATGCGTGGTCGTGATAGAGAGTACCGAGGCCGAAGAGGCCACAACAAATGATGGAGAGCAGATGTAGGAGCTCAAGGAAGAGGCGGTACCTGAGAACCATAAAGAGTTGGAAGGAGGCGATGCTCCTCAGGAACGACATCTTATGGGTGTGCACAGGGCGACCATCAGGGCCCATACGAGGGTTCTCTGTGAAGTACCGGAATCCCGCCTCATGCAACACATTGTATGACACCGGGTGACGCAATGATGAGGTCACGTGGTACACCGCCGGTGGCCGTGGCTTGGGATGGGCCATTATCTTCTCAAACGAGGACGAGGCGTGCATCACAATGGCAGCTATGATCGCGTTCACCACCATGTCACCGGGAATCTGCAGCAACATATACCCAACCAATCGAATGCGTTCGCCACTGCCGTTCAAATGCATCTTGCTACAGGTTCTCCTAGACTCGTAGCATAAAAAATGCATACGAAAATATCATTAGTGCACTGTACAACTTTGCTTACCACATCCATGGTAAGGTCGAGGTCGGCCAAGAAGTATGTCAAGTTCTGCTTGGCATAGCCGATCACTATCGTGTCGATCGTCCTGCAATTTACATTTTTCTGCTGAACAAATATCGCAATATATTTTGCAATTGCAACAAATTTAAAAGACGGCGTTTTAAATTTGAAGCTAGAGACAGTGAAAGAAACTCATAAGAACCTGGTGCCCTCTATCCATCCGGGCAGTGGGTCATTCTGGACGCTAGTGATGATGCTAGGACGAACGATGACAATGGGGACATCACCCTGCATCTGACCCAACACCATCTCCCCCATCGATTTGGTGAAAACGTATGTGTTGGGCCACCCAAAGTGTCGGGCCCTGGCGAGGCCGAGATCTTTCATGGCCTTCCTTTTGGCCTTTGACGACGAGTCATCGTCGGCCTGAAGTTGTTTTTTCAGGTCGCTGGCCAGCCTGAACTCAGTGTTGATGTCAAGGTGGGTCCCCTCAAGGAGTGTCTCGCCTTCATCGAACGGCCTCTCCTCCACCAGCCCTTGCTTCTCACCCGCCACGTATGCTGCATTTATTAGTAACCTAATTTGTGAATCCAGTCTCGGACTAGTTTAATTTGTATCCATGAACTTGCATAACCAATGGTAATTTGTACAGTTGATGCACATACCTGTGGAGACATGGAGGAGCACCTTGAGGTTGGGACACTTCTTGGCGAAGTTGCACATATGCTTCACTCCCATCACGTTCACGTCCAGAGCCACATCATACCTGCACGCGCGCACACACGCACTTATATTACTTAGTTCTTTGGAGACCATTCACGACTCTTGTGATCAAGGGGGAACCACACGACACGAGGATGGGCTCCCGCGTCGGGTGAGCGCCCCCGGCGGCAGCGCCTCGATCTCCCTTCTCCGGCTTGCTCTGCAGCTGCCCAGGCCAGATCCGGAGTCCCCTGCCGGCCCTCTCTCTTCGTGCGAGGCTCGGCTCGGCTCGGCGTCCAGAGTTGGGACGGAATGGCCTCTCACGTCCGCGTAAGTGCCGGCTGGCCGCTCGCCGCCATCGCCCGGATCTCCGGGCTCCGGCCTCCGTCCTCCGTTGTGGCCGCTCTGACCGGATCCGGGTACCCCGCGGTGCCCTCTCCCACGCCAGCCTCGACGCCGCCTCGTCTCCCGGTTCCTCTTCGCCGTCTTTGTCTCCCGAGGCGGGTCACGGGCTTTTTATGCCGTTTTTGGATTGCTTGTATAGTATCCTTTTTGCCCGGTTTTTCATAAATTTACTAGTCTAGGCAATTATCTTCTTAATTAATTGATGAGGCCACACTTGTGTCTTCGTTTAGGAAAAAAGAACTCTTGTGGTCAAACTTTGATCGATGATGCTGCACCTGGACACGTTCTCTCCGTCCGGTTTTTCTCGGGCAAAACATTCAATTGACGACAACGTACCTTTCGTAGAAGTTGGTGGTGGCAGCACCATTAACGATGACCTCGAGCTCCTCGGTCAATCGGAGCTCCTTCAGAGTCTCAGGGTCGATGCCGAAGTCCTCGCCCATCACGTCTCCCGCCAACGGGACAATCTTCTCTTGGATGAAAGATTTAAACCCGTCGCCGTGCTTCTCCCTCAGAAGCCCGAACAACTCCTTCCCTACTACCTGCGCATGATCATTTCTACGTATCAGCTTAATTTCACGGGGTTTGACTGTTCTGCGAGTGCATGTTTAACTAGTCGGGAAGAAAATAATCAAAAGAGGTTCAGGAGTAGAGGGCTAGATCATGCAGAACCATAATGGACAACGCTACCTCATTCTCCACCCGATGCTTCGCCGCCGCAGCATCCACCGCTCGCACGGGAAGATAGATCTTCTTCACATCAGGCTGAACTCTTAGTATCTTCTCCACCAGTACTGCGTATATGAACCGAGACAAGAACAAATTAACACATGAGCACAATGCAACGGTAGTCCAGCATGATTTGGTCTTGAATGAGTAAACGACACCCGCGACACATAAATTTTACGTGAAAGAGGAGTTTACTCTTCTAGAATTTGCAACAAATAGTGTATGCATGCTTACTCTTTCCAAGAAAGCCTGTTGATCCAGTGACGAGGATGCTCTTGTTCTTGAAGTATTCGGTGATCTTTTGTTCATTCAGTGTGCTAACCATCTCGCCTTTTTTTCCCCTTTCCTGTGTGCGTGCGTGTGTCTTAGTTGGAGGAAGTGGCAGAGACCTGCAGAGAGAAGGATGTAAGGAAGAAACGATTGGTGCAAGGTTTGAGTGACTCAAGAGGCTCCTTTACACAGTATTTATACACGGGCCATCAAAGGTGTTGTATGTAGGTAGGAGAGGGGAGGGGAGTCTTAATTTGAGACGCTTGAGCGCACGAATTAACCATGACAACATATTATGTGCTGCCCAACCAAAACCAGGACCTGCAGCATTAAAAACCCAGCAGTAGGAGTACTCTATCTAGGTTTACAAACAAAGTTATTATTGCGGTTGGAGTACATTTCTAGCCATCAAAGTAGACAACCAGCCGTGGTACTATATAGTTGCCATACTTAAGAATGAGTTGTCTAGAGTCAGTAGGTCCTCCAACACTTACTAAGAGCAACTCCAATGGGGCGACCCAAACGGACGGCGATTTCGTCCGCTTTTTATCCGTTTGGATCGGCCGCCCGTCCGGCGTCCGCCCTGTTTTAGATATGGGTCG